CCCGCCATGTGCACCCGCCCCTCCAAGGCCGAATGTTGGGCGGGAGAGGCCGTTCGGACCCTCTAGGGCCGCCCTCAGCCCCTAGCCGGGGCCGGTAGGGGGTGGGGTCTGCTCCGACTCCCCACCTTCGCCACCCCTTTCGGATTGCCCTGTGCTCTTCTGTCCCTATCCCAGGAAGCTCTTTGAAATCTCCCTCCACGCGGGAAGAGCAGGCCCTCCTAGGCGCTCACTTCCACCCTTTGCTGAACCACCTCGTAGGAGCTTAGTTTCCTGTGAGCTTTGTTTCCTTTTCAGCAAAGGGACGTGGCATTTTCTTTCCTGGCGTTTGCAAAATCGTCGCAATCCCTCGCCTCGTGCACCTTCCTGATGTCCACCCCGATGCTTTCCTAAGACCAGGTCTTTTTATTCAACTTACCATGCCCCAAATCTCCCTGCTCTTTTCCTTATTGCAAAAAATGCATCCCACTGTTTTTCTGGTGAAACTGCTTTCTCTTCTATCTTGGACGTGACATTTTCTAAATAAGCACATGTCTTTTCCAATCTCTGAAAAGCAGAAACTTGTCCTATTCACCCCTGCTCCTAGCTCAGTACCTAGAACACATGCTCTTATTTCAGGAAATACTCCAATAGTCATCTTTGTCGTCCTGTCCTATAGTGTGACCCAGGCCATGCTAACCCACTCTTTTCTCATCTCCTTTTATGCTCAAGTGCTAACTGGGTGTTCTGGGTGGCCAAGTGTTCTGTGATGTGGCCTAAAAGTAATGATGGTTGATGGCAGCATGGCAACTTGCCATGTCATGGCCTGTCTCCTGTATGTAACATTTTAATTATGTCCTAGAGCTATAGAGAGAGTTACTTTTCTTGGTTTCAGTGAGTATGAACAGCCACTGGAGGTGAGGAATAGCAGTCTGCAGAGAATGGGCTCCTCCGAATCAACTGATTCAGGTATTCTTTTAGTCTTAAACATTTTTATCATGTGTCTGCCGTGTGGGAAGCAATACTTGGAATTTGCTAAAATGTGCACTTTCACCTAGAAACTTAGTTTGGTGAGTTGAGATAGTAAACAGAAAAGTCCGGCATTGAGTGACAAACATCCTTAACAACAGTACAAAGGAGACCCTGTGGCAGTTTATGAAGAGAAGAAACGTGTCAAGGGGCCACAAGGAGGTGGTTTGTGCTTGGTGTTGAGGATGAGTAGTAGTGTGAAATTAACCATACCACTCTAAGTGGCATTCAGGAAATCTTATTGGTTAAAATGCTGGGTCAAATTATTGGATGTATAATGAAATTATTTCAGTGAGCCTCCTATGGAGAAACTGTGCCAGTGCATTTTATTGTAATCCGTAAGTTCATGTTACTGCAATGTATATTTGCACAGATGCTTTAGGTTTTTGCAAGAGCAAAAGTCTTAAAATGTAGGCTTCTTAAGAACCAGGGATAGGATTGTGGCAGTGGGGCAAGGGAGAATGTCAGGAGCAGTAACACCTAACTTCCTGTACAATTATTTAGACATCGTGGAGGAAAGGTGTGCTCTAGGCAGGCCCTGGTGGCTCTGGGCCACGCTGAGCAGTGTCTCCTCTATTCTGCTGCCGTCGGTGAGGTGAGCACCTCACTTGATGTTATTTTGTTGAAGACAATAAATACTTGCCTTGCTTGTCAGAGAACATAATTGTATTTTCCAACCCCCTGAGTTGTGCATATGATCTGACAGGATATAAGATATTTGAAACCAAAACTATTCCAGAAAACAGGTACCTATTCTTTCTGTGGTTGGAACTCACAGAAAGTTAGCCTGGGTAACCTCTATCTGAATAACGAAGCAATCATGAGGTTTGGTTTAGGAACTTTTTTAAAATTTTGATTGAAGTATAGTTGATTTATAATGTTGTGTTAGTTTCTGGTGTACAGCAAAGTGATTTAGTTATACATATATGTAGTTCTTTTTCATTATAGGTTATTACAAGATATTGAATATATATCGTTCCCTGTGCTATACAGTAGGACATTGTTGTTTATCTATTTTATATGTAGTAGTTTGTATCTGCTAATCCCAAACTCCTAATTTATCCCCTCCACCTCCTCCTTTCCCCCTTTGGTAACCATAAATTTGTTTTCTACATCTGTGAGTCTGTTTCTGTTTTGTAAATAAGTCATGAGGTTTGGTTTAATTCACTCTCCTCAAATCCTGTTTTCCATGATGGTATTTGCAAGTAGGAAAGAATGAGTAGATATACTATGAAAATATTTAGACTTTTACAAATACGAAGTTTTGGCAATCATGGAGACTCAACTTCAATTCTGTCAAAAGTCCAAGCTATGAGCCTTTGTTGATGGCCTTAAAGAAACAGTACTAGCAGTTTTATTTATTTATTTCAATGACAGAGTGGTGTATCATGTATTAAATCCTGAGAGGTGTTTTGTTTGTTTGTTTGTTTGAATTTCCCACAGGCTTCTGTCTGGATTCTCCTGGGCCCTTGGATAGTAAAGAAAAGTATGTATTCACTGCTTTTAAATATTTGTGTTTAGAAAAACTTTAATTTTTCTTTTTTTTGCGGTACGCGGGCCTCTCACTGTTGTGGCCTCTCCCGTTGCGGAGCACAGGCTCCGGACGCGCAGGCTCAGTGGCCATGGCTCACGGGCCCAACCGCTCTGTGGCATGTGGGATCCTCCCGGACTGGGCACGAACCCGTGTCCCCTGCATTGGCAGGCGGACTCTCAACCACTGCGCCACCAGGGAAGCCCCAAAAACTTTAATATTTTTAATGAAATTCTTCATGCTCTGGGCTGGAGCTCCGGATTTAGCTATCCCTAGTAAGACCCCTGGATCCTATAAACAGTCTGGTATCTTTTGAGAATGAGTAGTTTGTGTCAGCAGTTTTCAGAACTTCCCTTCCTTTATTTTAGCTGTAATTTGGTGTTCTGTTCCAGTCTCACCCACATCCTTGCTCCGCCTTCTGACATCATTGTCTTAAGAGAACCTTTTGTTTGTTTGTTTTGTTTTGTTTTGCTGCACCGCAGGGCTTGCTGGATCTCAGTTCCCCGACCAGGGATTGAACCCAGACCATGGTAGTGAAAGCCCGGGATCCTAACCACTAGGCCACCAGGGAACGCCCTAGAACGTGTTTTGGTTTTGGTTTGTTTTTTTTTTTTGTGGTACGTGGGCCTCTCACTGTTGTGGCCTCTCCCGTTGTGGAACACAGGCTCCAGACGCGCAGGCTCAGCGGCCATGGCTCACGGGCCCAGCCGTTCCGCGGCATGTGGGATCTTCCCGGACCAGGGCTCGAACCCGTGTCCCCTGCATCGGCAGGCAGCCTCTCAACCACTGCGCCACCAGGGAAGCCCAGAGCGTGTATATTTTAAGAGAAGACCTGGGCTTGCTTTTTTCACTAGAAGCCCAGTGGTGGAGATGCTTATGAGAACAGGACAGCTTCAGAAATCTATTTTTCCATCTTGCCTAAAATGGGAATGTTTGACTCTCCCCTCACCCCACCAAACTGTAGGTTTGCATCTGCTAATATGTATACCTCTTTACTTGCTTTATTCTCATTATTTACTTTCTGATTTCATTACAGCCTTGAAAATCCCATGAGGAGAATAAATTCCCTGCCTGTAAGTTAGTTCCCTTGTTTATTTTGAGCCAATACCTATTATCTGCCCCTTAGCTACCAGTATAACCTTGATAGTAGACATTAATTTATACAGACTGCTTTTCCTTACTTTGTCTCATAAACATTCAAAACACTCTACCTAAAGTAACTTCAATAATGGCTATCTCTTGAGGGCTTTTTCTTCCATCTCTAACTATTAGAGTTTTATCCAACGAGGAAGGGGGTTCTTTTTATGTAAGTGATGTTATTTTGGGGTTGATTTGGTACCTAAGTCCTTGCTGAGAGGACTGTAGACGTTGTGAAGTTAGGTGTAAATCCATGTAGTGGGAACTTCTATCTTGTGTTCTCTCAAGTGGAGCCCTAGCCACATTTACTGGTTACCCACTGCAGTGTATGAGGGGCTAGGTCTCCCCAACCCACCACCACCATATGTTTTTTCTTTTAGAACTGAGTTTCCATTGGATTTTCATTTATGTACTCTAATTCCTCTTTTCACTTTAATAGCAGAAGCTCTTGGGGTGTAGCCCAGCTCTGAAGAGGAGCCATTCTGATTCTCTTGACCATGATGTCTTTCAGCTAATTGACCAGGATGAGAACAAGGAAAACGTGAGTGTGGCGTTAATCTACTCACCTGGGGGCAGAGGTCAAACCCACAAGTGTTCGTGGCTTATGGAGAAGTAGCTGGGCTGGATGCTTCCTGGGAGACTAAACCTTCACCAAAGTCATGATAGTCTTTGGAGTCAGAAAAACCTAGATTTGAATCCTACTGCTTGCTAGCTGTGACCTTGGCTTTTTTTTAGGCTTCTTTGTTTCTTTTTGAAATACGAGTAACAGTCCCTTATAGGATTATTGTGGGAATTAAATAAAGATAATGTAGATAAAGCATTTCAAATGGTTCCTGTCAGGTAGGAGTTGCTCAGAAGGTAGCTCTGAGGAGGAATTATATCCATGAACACTTTATCTGGAAGGGTCTGGCCAGGCCTTCCTTGCCTGTTTGTGCTGACCCTGGGATGAGTTAGAAGTTTAGGGAAAGGCTTCTTGACAGTATTTGAAAGAACAGAGCCAACAAGTCCCAGGGGATCTCAGAGTAACTGAAATGGTAGCTTAGAAGGTGAGTTGGGGTGGTGTAGCCAAAAGTCCAAGAACGCCCTGGCCTGGCTTTTCTCACACCTGGCGGGGCCCCTTGCACAGAGTAGGCACCAAAAGAGTTCAGTGAATCAGCTCAACTTTCCTGGTCTTCTTTCTCACTGTATTTCCATATCTATGTATTTCCATATCATACTTATTATAATCTTCCGGACTTAATACTTCCAGAACCTACTGCTTCCATGAACTCTCCCAGTGATTCCTTTGGCAACTTGCAAGATGTCCTGAGGGAGATACAGAAATGAGTTCCTGCCTTGAGTGCTTAGAACACTATGTCTCCCTCTGTGTAGTACATTTAACCAAACAGTCTAACACTATTGTACCCATGCCTGGTCTCTCTCCCCACAACCCCAGGTTGGCTTCTCCCAGGGTTGCCTGCTTAGAGCTTCATTCTGGAGGGGAAACAGCATAGGTTAAAGAGCTCTTGCTCTGGAGTTGTCCAGTCGGGTTATGAAGCCAGATCTTTGGCACATCACTTAACCTATGGGCCTAGTTTCCTCATCTCTAAAGTGGGGATGATCAGATGGATAAATGAGCTAATGCACTGAAAGCACTGTATGGGCATGTAAATACTCTGTGATGTTAGCTGTGCTTAACAAGTTCTTCAGTGGATATTTTAGGGTAGGGGAATTATTAGTGCTATTAAACTTTAAGTAAATGAAATCATACAGTATGTATTCTGTCACTTCGGGCTTTCACTCAACATTATGTGAGATTCATCCAAGTGGTTGAATAAACCAGAATGGTTTTTGGGTTTTTTTTCTCATTTTATTGAGAAATAATTGACATGTATCACTGTAAAGTTAAGGCATACAGTATGATGGCTTGATTTACATGTTTTGTGAAATGATTACCACAGTAGGTTCAACTAACATCCATCTTCTCATATAGATACAATAAAAGATACAATAAAATACAGTACAATAAAAGGAAAAGAAAGGAAAAGGGGAAACTTTTCTCCTTGTGATGAGGACTCTTAGGATTTACTCTCTTGTCATCCAGAAGTGTTAGCTATAGTCATCATGTTGTTGTTAGTTTTTTTCCCCATTGCTTTTGGTATGGAAAGCAGTAACTTTAAGTGTTTTCCACTTAATTATCTCCTATTGGTAGGAAGAAGATGGAAAATATAAAGGCCTCTTTTAAGTTTAGACTGAAAAGTTTTTATTCCTATTCAATTATATTGAAATGAAATTGCTTTCGATTTTAGGAAGTTTTTTTTTTTGTTTTTTTTTTTTTGCGGTACACGGGCCTCTCACTGTTGTGGCGTCTCCCGTTGTGGAGCAACAGGCTCTGGACGCGCAGGCTCAGTGGCCATGGCTCATAGGCACAGCCGCTCTGTGGCATGTGAGATCTTCCCAGACTGGGGCACGAACCCGTGTCCCCCGCATTGGCAGGCAGACTCTCAACCACTGTGCCACCAGGGAAGCCCTAGAAAGTTTTTTTTTTAATTGTAGTATAGTTGATAGACAGTTGTTGATTTAGTTTTTAACTCATAGTGTTTTGTGTACCTGGCAGATACTCATGTGTTTATTAGGAAATAAAGTGTTTGTGGTAAGAGAAAAAAGTGCTGTATTAGAAGTTAGCTTTTGACAGAATCTTTGAAATTCTTAATTACACAGATCCAGTATTGGAATTAGATCAGAAATGGGTTTGGAGGCAGGTGATCAATACCCACTCCCTTGCTTGTCTCCTGAAGCTATAGCTGAGACCCTAGAGCTGGTTTTCATAGACAGTGGCTGATGTCTCAATTTATACCGTCTTGCAGGAAGCCTTTGAGTTTAAGAAGCCAGTAAGACCTGCATCTCGAGGCTGCCTGCATGCTCATGGACTGCAGGACGGTAAAGATCTCTTCACACAGAGGCAGAACTCTGCCCCAGCTCGGATGGTACGTGCTCTGGCTTTCATAGTCCTAGGAGTTCCTGATGGGAAGAGATGAAAGCACCCTCTTTAGCCTAGAGTTGAAGCAGTAGCTCTTGCTGTCTTTACCTTGACTTTGTTTTTTGAAACTAGACTCACATTTTTGGTGTTTCTGCTGTGTCTGGAAAGCAGACAGGCAGAAGCAGAAGTGAGAGGTGATATGTTTGAAATATTGGACTTGAGCAAGGAATATTTGACCTTATCAATTATGGGAATTCTGCAGGCGTCCTGGGTCATTCTTCTGAATGTATGTATGGTGGGATTGTATGTCTTACTTCAAACTTGTCTCTTACGATGCATCCTGAATGCTGAGAGGTATTTCCCAGAGTGATTTTGTTTGGAGAGAGCACTTGTCTTCTTCCGAACTTGGTTTATTAAGAACTATTATGTATCCCAGTGAACCCATTGCCTATCAGGTTACTTGACAGTATATGTGGCCACTTGTCCCACAGTTATTTACTTGCCAGAGACTGTCATTACTTCCTAATTTCCTACTGATGATCTGACAGATAGCTATGGACTAGAGAGGCCCAGCATGAGCAAAATGACCACATTTGTTTTCCTGGGAACTTGCATCTGAAAATACAGCTTTCCAGTCTGGCTTAAGGTCTGAGGTTCAGGTTCAGCTAGTATCGCTACTCTGTCTAGCATTTGCACAAAGCAATTTATGTTCTCCTGTCTTTAATCTTCTTCATAAGCCTGTGAAGTAGCTGGAATTACCCCACTTTACAGATTGGGAAAGTGTGGTCAGGGAGGTTGGGTGATTTGCCAAAGGACACAGATAAATGAAGACCAGAATTAAACAGTCTGCTGATTCCCAAGTACACAGTAACCCTCTGAGAGCTGGGTATCCAAAACTAAATATCTCTAGTGTACACCTGAAGAACACAGCACCAGGGTTTCCTGTAATCACTTGGCCATCCCTAATTGTAGGTGCTGAGGGTACAAACTGAAAGAAAGCCAGTGCTAAGCACAATGGTTTGGCTTTTGATCATGTCAGAGGGTATTTCTTTCTTTTTTTTCTTTTAAAAATATTTATTTATTCATTTGGCTGCATTGGGTCTTAGTTGAGGCATGTAGTATGTTCGTTGTGGCATGTGGGATCTTTTGTTGAGGTACATGGGGCTTCTCTCTAGTTGTGGCATGCGGGCTCAGTATTTGCAGCGCACAGACTCTCTAGTTGTGGCACGTGGGCTTTCTAGTTGTGGTACACGGGCTCCAGAGTGTGCGAGCTCAGTAGTTGTAGCACGCGAGCTCTCTAGTTGTGGCACGCGGGCTGTAGAGCGTACGGGGTTAGTTGCCCTGCGGCATGTGGGATCTTAGTTCCCAGACCAGGGATTGAACCTGAGTCCCCTGCATTAGAAGGCGGATTCTTAACCACTGGACCACCAGGGAAGTCCCAGAGGGTAGTTCTTTTGTATCCTTGCTTTTAGTCTCCAAGCACCATCTGTATTTCCTCATAATGGCTTGTTGGTGTAGGAATCATGGAGAAAGAATTAGGTCCTGTCCAGAGATTGTCATTTTCTATAGCATATCTGCACCTGGGGACGCCAGAAGCTGGGTTACAGAAATTGGTATTATACCATAGGGTGAGCCTTCAGTGGGTGCTGCCCCATGATAGAGTTACCTGCTCCTAGGCTCTGCTGGCTGAAAAACTGCCAGTGTGCCCAAGGTGTGCTCAGGTACACTTGTAGAGGATGAGAGGCAACCCAGAACTTGTTTTATATTGTGAAGCAAAGCTAGTGCCTGAACCAGAGTAGGCCAGCTGCAGAGAGGACCCCAGAGGGCTGCTTGAGGATTAATGCATTCATACATACCCCAAAGAGATTCGTTGCTATGGGAGAGAAAAAAATCTATCTCTGAACTTTTTTCCTGGCTTTGGGAAGTACCTGGAAAAGAAATAATTCATTATCATCAATGTTTGTATTAGCAGTGTTTATCTGTAGATGGTAGATTTTTGAGTGGTTTTTATAAATTTTCTATACTAAATACGTATTCATTTTATAATGGGGGTTTTACCTGAAAAACAAGATAGGGTTGCTTAATGAGATATACTCTATATTTTGACTCCAGGAATGGTCTCTCTTAGGGAGAGTATAGTGGGGAGAAAAGCTTGGGCTTTGTGGTCAAACAGGTGAGCTGTGTGATCTTGGTAACCTCTCTTAAGCATCGGTTTCCTGATTTGTTAAATAAAAAGAACAGGATTGGGCTTCCCTGGTGGCGCAGTGGTTGGGAGTCCGCCTGCCGATGCAGGGGACACAGGTTCGTGCCCCGGTCTGGGAGGATCCCACATGCCGTGGAGCGGCTGGGCCCGTGAGCCATGGCCGATGAGCCTGCGTGACCGGAGCCCGTGCTCCACGACGGGAGAGGCCACAACAGTGAGAGGCCCGCATACCGCAAAAAAAAAAAAAAAAAAAAAAAAAGAACAGGATTAACTACCCTAGTGTATTGTGAGGCTTAAATGGGATTATACATTAAAGGTTATATCCTAGTGTCTGGCACAAGTAATTCCTCAGTTAAAACTGAGCAGCTGTCATTTAAATTCCAGTTCCAAGTCTAGGATGGACTTTCTTCGTTGCAGCTCGCAGGCTTCTTTCTAGTTGCAGCACATGGGCTCCAGAGCGCGTGGGCTCTCTAGTTGTGGCATTCTGGCTTAGTTGCCCCATGGCATGTGGGATCTTAGTTCCCCAACCAGGGATCGAACCTGTGTCCCCTGCATTGGAAGGTGGATTCTTAACCAGTGGACCACCAGAGAAGTCCCTAGGATGGACTTTCTAGAACTTTCTTGACTTTGTATCCCTCTGTCAGAACTGGAGTTACAGAAGCATTCTCTAGTCCATTCTGTGGTTTCCATAGAGACTTGGTATCTTCTCACCCTTCCTCATTTTAGCAGATTATCACTTTGTCACAACCCCCATGCTGATCCCTGTTCACCAGTTATAATCCTCAGAAAAAACAAACCTTGCCCTTCAAAAGAGGCTAGCCCCAGATCTCACTGTAAGGTGAATTGCTCCTGGGGAGTGTTCTTTGTGAAGGCTACTTGGCCTGACTCTACTCAGAACTGTGTGTGGACATCAATTCATTTATAATCTTAGGTTTCATTTTCCTTTGATTAGAGCTGCTAAAACTTCTTACAAAAAATATAATATGTTTTCCTCATAAAAACTAGTGACCCATCCAAGGAAGTCAAAGCTGATTATTTATTAACAAGCCATGAATTCTGTCTTGTAGCTTTCCTCAAATGAAAGAGATGGCAGTGAACCAGGGCATTTCACTCCTTTTTTTATGCCCCAGTCACCTGTGACTGCCACTTTGTCTGATGAGGATGATGGCTTCATGGATCTTCTCGATGGAGAGAATCTGAAGGTACTATGTGTGTGTGTTTTCCCATCCATTTTACTAACTACCCTGGAGAGAAGTCATCTGACAAGGAACAGTGATCCCCCAACTGGCAGATATTTTTATTCATTTGTTGGGAATTTATTGAGACTCTGCTTCTAGCCTGATTAAATCCTATGGAGGAGTTCAAAAGAAGACACTGATGTGATCCTTCTTATCCTGAAGGAGCTGATAGTCCATTTTTCTGGCAAGAGATATGAATCAGGAACAGTGGAAGAATAGCTGCCACGTGGCGTAAAGCTGAGAACAGAGTGCCTCCTCATGGCCCCTCAGGGGCATACCTTTAGCTATGCTCAGATACCGGGACTGTTAAGTGTTACTCTTTTCTGACCTTAAAATGTTGGGAACGGGTGAACATTAGAATGCTTCCTATCCAGGTCTTTCTGGTATTCTGCAGGAAGAATTCTAAAGCATTTAAACTAATGTCTCTGCTGGACCTTTGTGATGCAGTTTTTCTTTGTTTAGAATGATGAAGAGACCCCGTCCTGCATGGCAAGCCTCTGGACAGCTCCCCTTGTCATGAGAAGAACTACAAACCTGGTAAGTCCCTGTGTGTCTAGAGGGAGCCACAGGAATCAAAATTGTTTCTTTTGAGATTCTGTGGTTGGGTCTATGGGCCTTTCCCTTGACTGGTCGCTAGTGTTTCCTGGTGTTAATGCACACTGTTTTTTCAAGTTTGTTTGTTTGGAGTGTTTTTGGTTTTGTTTTTGTCCTCATTGGTGTGTGAGGAAGTCTGGGTAATATAAAATGCATGCAGTTCTTGTTCTTATAATTTCTAGTTCATCTCAACTGTTCTTGTCAGTTAAGGTCTTTTCTATACAACTCTGACCTCTCTATTAACTTCTTTAAGATCACTGGATAATGCTGGAAAATATCTGCTAAGTTGAATTTAAGAGACTCAGTTATTCTCAAATTCTGTCAGATTTGGTATCAGCTTAGATTTTAACTGAGAGCTTCATGGGTGAGCAGTTTGTATGGGGTTTTTT